TTTTCAACATCAACCAAATGAGAAGCGCGTACCATACAAGGATAGAGGATGAAGAGCTAATTCGAATAAGTACAAACATGAATGCGATAACTGGAAAGAAAAGCTCAACATGAGCAAAAAAAAAATTTTGGTGGCGCAAACAGGAGAAGATTCCGGAAAAAAATATTTTTCTCCTGATCAACAAAATCCTAAGCGCGTACCATATAAGGATAAAGAATGAAGTGCTGATTCGAATAAGTATGAAACGTGAATGCGACAACTGGAAATTAACCAACTCAATAGCTACAAGTACCAAAAAAAACATCAATCGAGAAACAGGCAGAAAAAAGGCAACCGAGGACCGAGGCCAACGATCAAGAGACAGAGGGAGCAAGAGGAAACTTTAGGAGATCTGTAACTTCGATATCAAACACAAAGAAACAGTAGCAACAACAATACAACAGAATTGAAGAAAGAGAACGATCATTAACAACACTTACCTCAATCAGAATTCAATTCGAAACTTCCATCAAACTTCCAGAAATGGACTGAGTTCGCTGGAGCACAGTTCAACTCAAGGAACCGCGACGCGTCTGAAATCTTCCAAAGCTTATATCTTTTAAACTAGGCCTTTCCAAGAAATCTTACCCAATTAAGAATGACCAGCATCCAATTCTGCACCTGAAAAGCTAAAAAAATCGAGGAGAAAAATTTTGCCCCAAAATGGAAAAAAAAGAAAAAAGCCTTATGTTAGTTCAGCCTTTTTTTCATTTTGGCTGGGGGGTCGGAAAGTCATAAGCTTCAATCCGGACCAAACTTGGACAGAAGCAGCACGAGTAGATCATAAGACCTTCTGTCCAAGTTTGAGCTCGAAATCTGGAAAATGGACTGAGTTATGCAGCTTCAAAGAAAAAGCTCAAAAATGTAAAACCTGGACAATGGTATCTCATTCGAAAGCTGACAGTCTGAGGAATCGAATGAGATTGGTGTCGTCGTGTCTCGATCAGTGTACACGGAGAAATAAGCTTGCGAAATTGGTAGCGAAAGCTCATCGCGCGCTGCGGCTACAGTAATTTAGTCCATTTAGGCCAAGATGGTTTTGTACTCCGTAGTCTATCTGTGAAATGAAAAATTCAAACCACTTAAATGTAAAAAAATACTTCAACTGAAATCCGCTTTTTTTCGCTTTATTTGAATCCGTAGGTACCTGCGAATTCAGAATGAAAACTGTGACTTCTCACGTGAAAAGCATAGTGCGTGGTTCCGCAATTAAGCACAGCCGCTCACGATCATGGTTGCTCAGAATGACACTTCTACCTAGTTCATTCTCAACTTACTTTTCGAGTGAGCGGCGTCGCTAGCTCAGCTATAGGCAGGAGCTCATCAGCAACAAGTTGTTGCTATGGCAATGATTCAACACCTAATATGAATGGAACAAACAATTGAACTGCCGTCTCTACTGAACTCATCAACTAAAAAGAACACAATGAAGATCTGACCAGCAGCAAGATAGTTCAGTTGGGAAGTAACAACGGTTATGGCCATCTTATAAGGAGAATAGAACTAACAAACACAAAATATTTATTTCAATGTCATCAAACTCTTACAACTAATGATTCAAATAAAAAATTAAACAAAGAGCACCTCAGATTAAAGTAGAAAATGTAAACTTCCTTCAATGAATTGGAAATTACAAGTAAATCAGTTTCAACGCGATCAGCATTTCAGTTGTCAGAAATGAGTTGAGACAGATAAAATATGAACATTTGAATGAAGAAATATTCCAACTGAAATTTCTTCTTGATTTCTAACAATAGCGTATACAGAGAGACTAAGTTAAAATAGCTATAATAGTAGATTCATCCCTTGTCCAACATCAGATCGTTACTAGTTCCCATGATCCATGCCTGTTATCAACATCCAACACTAGAGACTTGCTGATTGAACAACAAGTATGTTCCAGATTGCATTAGTTACAGCATACATAAAGACAACATATTATATCAACTCATACAAAGAAGAAACTTCTATTCCTCATCTCTTAATAGATACAGAGCTGGGAATCGTGTTTATGACTGACCTCTTTACGAAGGCAAAGAAGCAGTGCGAGTTCAAACCAGAATATCAGTTCGAAAGAGACAACACAGAATAATAAATAAAAATGGAAACTTCTCTTACAGATAACGTTGTTCAGCTCATAGTGTTAGCGCAAGTGCCCAGAAATGTATTTTGACTAGATGAGTTGAAATAAGTTAGAAAGACCAGGTACTCTTAGGGCTAGTGTTGGTATCCTTTCAAGGCATCTGAACAACGAAGGAACATCATAATACAACTTATGAAGAAAACAAGTTGAAACTCTTATCAGAACAACTAAGAGGTGTAAGGTAATTCAAAAAACAATCAACTAAGACTAAGATTGCCAAAAAGATTTTCAATCTGAGAGTATGAGTGACAGTTGATAAGCAATCTAACAGGCTACCTCACAGACACACGTTTGAATCATAAGCAGAGGAAACCAGACCGAAGGTTATACTTAAGAAACATAAATCATGCTGGACTATGCGGTTATAGAGAAAAGCGATTCATTCAAATGAAGTATGATAAAAAACAATCAATATGTTTGTAAGACTGCACGATCGATATTGGGGGTTTGTTACAGATTGTCAGTGGAGCACACTAGTTCGTCATTTGATTATCGAAGAAAAATATATATACCCAAGATATCCGCTGTCCTGTGAAACAAGCCCTTCCTACTAGATGGACTAGTGCTGTGGGACAACTCATCCAGATTCTAACAGATATTGTGGAATGAACGACTGCTCAAAAGCTTAGTTGAGTTGAAAATGAACTACGTGGTCGACCAAGAATGAGTTTGTTCAAGTGAAGATTGCTTTGAAGGCTTTGCCACTGCTGTTGGTTGATGTTGTTGATTCAAGATGAAAAACAAAGAAACTTTTTCAAAATTTCATTGAAAAAAAGAAAAAACGAAGTAAATCGAACATCACAGACATATGAAATACATTATTATATTAGAGAAATGCTTATTATTTACGTGCAAAAATGATATTTTGGATTCCTATTGGCCAACCTAATGGAGATGAATGAGCAGCAGAGCAGCAGAACATTCATCTTCGATGAACCAAACGGAAGATGGTTTTAAGAGAGTAGAAAATCTGTTGAAGACCAGCTTTGCTTGGGTAAGAAGAAGCGGCAGAGAGTCATCTGGCGTACTATGACTTCAGCGAATATTTAAAGTAAAATGTATAAATACATGTAATGAGCGCACCGAAGAAACGGATAGCCATCTCTTAACCTTTGGGAATGAGAAAAGTTGTTAGAAATGAGAAATATGCATCGGAACCTTGTATGCAAGTTGAAAAAATAGTGAAAAAAGGAAAAGCTCACAGACTAGTTGAACGATAGAAGAGAGAGAGAGAGACAGAGAGAGACAGAGAGAGAGAGTTGTAGGAAAGAACAAGCTGTCTAGGCAAATAGCATGGAAAATGTACAATCGTTAATTATCGAACAATTCTGTGAACAGTCGCAACACCGGTATAACTTCTATTAAGACCTTTGGTTGTTTGTTTCTCATATCTTCAATTAGTAACTAACCCCATCTCATGAATGAGCTGGGTAGATATGAAGAAATTCGGGCTGAGAGTGTTGTTGTTACGGGAGTAACATCAGCACTCATTTCATTTGGTGTAGAAGTTATCTCGCGAGAGGTAACCGGTTGGGATTGCGACTGTCCGGCGCACCGTCAACTTGAAGAGTCGGATTCGTGTGAACCAACCTAAGAAAGGAAAACGTTTACATATTCAAGATCTCTTGCTTACCTCTAGGATTTCCGGATGTCTCTCGATTACTCGCATAAGAATGCCGTTTATATATACACGCAACTTCTGATTACAGACTTCTTGTTCACGTAAAGCTTCTAAGAGTTGAGAAGAGTCTCCTCCTATGAGCTCATCAGCTAGACAAGGTGTGTCTGCTAGTAAGTTATGTCCTCGTTCAACGCTCTCGGCTAGCATTTGATTTTGGAGATCATCTCGTTCTTTCTTGAGATTTCTGATTGTAACTCTAGCTTCTTCTAATTCTTCCTCCAAATCAAGCATCTGAATCATAATGAATATAAATTTGAACACAAGCCAGTGAACGAACCTGCTCAGCCATAGAACCCTGTCTGACACCACCAGCTCTCTTGCGAAGCTCTTCTGTCTGCATTGTCAGTGCTTCTACCATTTCGGAACTAGAATCAATATCTTGCTTTGCTTCTTCTTTGAATCTTAAATATGATAAACATAATGATAACCCCATTGATATCTAAGATTACTTTCTGAACTGCCTCTCCATTTTGATTCGTTCATCTTCTAAGTCTTCGATAGTTAAACGGCTATCATCCAAATCAGCTTTCAGCTCTTCCGACTGTTCTTTGAACTTTTTCACTTCTTCTCTGGCTTTTTCGGCTTCCCGTTTAGAGATAAGCAAATCCTTTTCAATCATTTGATATTTGAGAGTTAAACTCTCTGACTCCAGCTGCTTTTCTCTCTCGCTCCGACTCAGAAGTTCTTTTGCCCGTAACTTCTCCTCATGCAGCTGATCTTTGTATCTAAACCATATAAGTACACATGTATAACTAATAACAGTACAATACCTTTGTTCGGTAGCTTGTAATTGCTCTTCTAATACATGTAAACGTTCTGTTAAGAGGGCGTTTTCCATTTTTAATCTTGTCCTCTCATCATCGCCCAGTTGTTGTTTTTCCTGCATTTCCTGCATTTGCTTGGAAATGCTACTCATCTGAAAATAAAATGAATAAATAAAACTTCTCCTCTAACATATATGCTCTCTCATTCAAACTATTAATTCTGAGAATTGGCTCAATCAAGGTTCTCAACTAACTTCTGGGGAGAAAATGATGAGAACGTCGAAGATGATTCAAATCACACAAGCATATTGAACAACAAAGACAAATTCTCTCTTAAGCTTTATAAGTTCGCTAGCTTACAACTGTTCTTTCAAAAATCAAAAGCTAACCCTTTCTCACCGTTTGTTGGGGATAGTTAGAGACGAAAGAGGTGGTTGCGAGGGGAAATAAAACAGAAAACTTCCTTCAATGAAACGCTCTCTTAACAACAAGAACTACAAGCAACTGGAATTTCTTTTCACAAACATTCACCAAAAACTGGTAAGCAATAAAATAAGTTAAAGAGAGAATTAGAGCATTTACAATTATGCATATCGATTGATTCACAAAAACTGTTTACTCTATCATTTGTTGGCGCACGTGACTTTCACGTGAAGTTACGTAATTTCACGTAATTTCACGTAAATATTCGATTACTATATCAATCATCTCATTCTTTACATTCAGAATTTCCCAGAACGGTTGTGTCCTTGCATTCTCACACTTTCATTCTCTCTCTCTCTCTCTCTATCCCTCTCCTCTTAATCGTACTCTCTCATTATCTCATAACTATTTCAGTTTGTGCTCACACACCTAATACACATTTTCAATAAGTTTAAATGATAATACCATAGTGCATACCTCGCGTGATAAGTATGATTCTTGCATTTCTTGATCGGAAAATGAAATTAGTTCTGGATCTGATCCGAGTGAATCACGTCTTGAGCGTGTACCGTACAGACGAGAAGCAACCGAAGCACTGCTCGCTGACGATCCGTTTAGCCTCATGGGCGAATCCTGAAAAACAGAGAATGAGTAAACTGAAAAAAGGATAATACAATGAGCTATAATTAATATTTGATATTGTTCTTTTATAAATTGAAAGTGCGAAGGATAGATAGATCAGAGGAATGAATGAACTCAATCGGTCTGTCAGTTAGTCCACCCTCCTCCTCCACTACTCCCCTACGGCTAATCATTACAAAGCTCATTAACTCAATGAGAGTGTTTAGCTGAGAGGATGAAGAGAGGTGGAGAAAACACGAATTGAAGACGAAAAAGCGATTAAAACAAGTAATTTTTATGAAAAATGATTGTGAAGCGAGATGAACTATGAATCAGCTAAGTTGACACGAGAAAGGCCAAATATGGTTAAAAGGTGAACAGTTGAACAAACGTAAGGCTGAATATGATTATCATTTTGACAAATATTGCCAATTTCTATTTGAAATATTATGGAAATGATAAAACTTACTCGATAATATGACATAATAGTTAGTATAATTAAGATATATAAGACCCGTTAATAGGAAGACGGACAGTTCAAGTCAACTGTGTCGTGTTGGCCTTCAGAATTGAAGATATTTCGAAAGAACTTGAAAGGAAAGGAAATAGTCTATGCCAAGCGTATGTTGGCTGCTAGTATTTCGACTGGGGGAGAAATGAAAAAAAGCAGTCTGAGCTTATGAAGGGATGGAGAGAGAGAGAGCAGAAGGAGAGATCGCAACGTTGCTAAGCAACAGTCTTACATCATAGATTCAGACAGAGGGTTGAGGTAAAGTGAAGGAAATATTATGAGGATATGAGAGATAAGCTGCGAGAAAAGATGAAAAGAATGAAATTAGATTGTGTTGGTAGAGAGAGGGGGAGGGGTAGGAAAAAGATTTCGATTTGCTGTACTTGGAATGAAAAAGAATGATAAAGGAAAGGAAATGTAGCACACGCACACAGACACGTATGAGTTGGAGAAGCTAAGAGCTGGCGTGATGTACCTGGGGACAGATGTAGATGAAGGTAATATTGAGAGGGAGAGAAGAAGGAGGAGGAGGAGGTAAGAGAGAAAGAGAGCGAATATCCCATTTCTTTCTTTTCATTTGAAAAACAACAAAACTAACCAAAAACATAAATAGTTTCAGACAAAAAGAACTGTGAACACAGGTGAAGAAGACGACCGCAAAACATTTTCGAAAAAGAAAAAAAATGAAATGTGAATTGTGCGGAATAATAGTTAAAATCCTATAATTAAGGGTGGGGGGGAGAACAAACAGTCTGTGGTATGGGAGGGGCCAGATGTCATGGAATCCTGAGGCCTCTTATGGAGATGAAGGATGAACAATGAATGGAAATGAATTGAATGGACAAACTATTTGGATAAAAGTCTTCGTTTGTTCCAAATTAGGGACATCTTCAAAGAGAAGTTGTCACATCGACTGATAAAGTTAGGCTGAGAAGACTGTTCTTCATTGAAAATCTATCTTTGAGATAGGAAATGATTAAGATGAACACTGTGAGAGAGAGAAAGATAGAGAGAGAGAGAGCAATGTGCTGTGTTGTGCAGTCGGATGTTCTTAAGATGATAATCTCGTTCCAAAAAGCACCCAAATGAAGTTCATGAAAGGAAGTGATAGAGAGAGAGAGGGGGGAGGAGTTAAGAGAGAGAGAGAGAGATGAGAAGTCATTCGAGTGTTTAACTGTTACAGTCAATGGAAATAGGAATATGTGAGTAACATGTCTCATTGTCAAATACCATAGAATGAGAACAAATTCAAAGAAACTTTCTATAAAACTTGTCGAGAAAACTATATATGTATTGAGCACGTGGATGAATGGAGAAGGAAGGAAGGAAGGTAACGCAGATAGAGAGAGAGAGAGAAAGAGGTGTAGAGAGAGAGGTAGAACGTTTTCGAGGTAGAGAGAAGACTGAGCTCGTTGTGATGAAAAAGATGTTAACCACTAGAAATAAACAAATAAACAGATGAAAAGCATGACTACCGCACGAGCTCATAGAGAGAAGAGGTATGACGACGGAAAGGAAAGAAGAGAGAGAGAGAGGAAATGCAAACCCCAAAAAAGGAAAGAAAGACCAAATGACCAATATCTATACAAATGCATTCAATTATTATGAATAATAATGCTTGTGTCACAAATAAGGATGTAGCCTGATGAGAATGGAGATGAAGAAGAAGAAGAAGAAGAAGCAGCCGGAGGAGGAGGAGAAGGTAACAGGAGTAAGACGGCTAGGAGATGCTTACTCTTAGCTTGTTTACAAGGATCGTTTTAAGAAATTTATGGTAACTTACTTCATAAAGCTTCATCTCATTAGGATAAATACATGGAACAGCCATATATGGAAGAAATAAATGAATAGACTGATGTGTTCAGCTTCTCTCTTGTGTTGGAAGAGAAAAACTGGAACAGGCCAAAAGCTGTCAGTTCAGCAGCGCTACTAGCTCCTCCATTTTTCCTCCCCTCTTTTCATTTTTTTTTCTTCTTCTAGTTGTTTTCTCTCTTTTCTCTTCATCTTACTATGTCTCTCTATTCTATTACAGTCTTATTTGATGACTCTCTCTCTCTTCTATTTCTTCTCTCTATTCAATCATTTGTTCAAAGAAAACAACACCACACCTTCTATCAAAAACCAAGAAGACTACATCATCTTCGTCTTCGTCATCATGACGAGCAAATGACCGCAGATACAAGCTAGAAGTCAACGGAGAATACCGGAGAAACCGGAATAAACCCTGGTATCGGCAATACTCACAAGCCTTCTTCAGAAAACGGCGAAAGAAAGAGAAATTCAGCTTTTTTTCCGTCGTTGCTCTTGTTCTAACACCTTTCTATTTCTCATGTTTCATGGAAAGAATGAAAAGCTTGCATCGTAAAGGATTCACAACCGAAAAAGGAAAGATCATGATCAAACGAGATATAAAGAGACAGGGAGAGTGTGTGAGAGAGAGTGAGAGAGAGAGAGAAAGGAAGACAGAGAGAGAGTTGTCTGTATTTGCTTTAAACGTCCCAAAAAAACTGATCAAAACACTAAACTAAGTGTGTGTGTGTGTATGTATGTGTTAGATGAAGATGGAGATGACATGAGTCCTTCGCATCTGAATGCAACTTGTAACTGACGACATCAGGTAACCTCTGATGTATGAGCGAGGAGAGGCAAAAGCTACAACGAAACGTCATGTGTGCCCACAAAAAACATGTTATTTTAAGTATTTAAAATGACGAAAAGACAGATTTGTTCAATGAATAACTTGTGAGAATTAGGATTAAACACAATTCCAAAAAAACAAAAAAAATTTGAAAAAAAAAAGAAAATAAAGGAATTAACCTTTGAGTTGGCAACCCCTACCCTCTGTCCTCCACCCTCTCTCTCTCTCTCTCTTTCTTTTCATCATACTCTCTATATACTATACTGATCCGCCTTATAACATTGGTGTATCCATCTCTCTCTCCACCCACTCTCTCTTTCTCTCTTTGTACCATCTGATTACAAAAATGAAATTTTTAGAAAATAAAAAATAATTGAAATGATGATGAATGCGAAATAGGGAATCGGAGGGAAAAAAGACATTTCACAACATCTACTTGAGATATAGAGGGATAAAGGAAGAGAGAGAGAGAGAGAGAGAGGTGTATCGAGAGAAACAAGCTGTTCGTAGTGGGAACAAGTTGTCTTGTAAATATGAACAAGTAGACTGGGATATAAATATATTCAAAAGGAAAATGCAAGTTTTTTTATAAAAAATTTCTTTTTTCTTTCTTTCCAACCCATACATCCATAGAAGGAGATTGAGAGAGACTTATGATCAACTAGAGAGAGTGAGAGAGAGAGAGAAGGTGTGGTGGGGGATTGTGAATGCGAATGCAACCGCTCTGTGCACGTGGAAGTATTTGAAATGAACTTTTCACATAAAAGTTGAATACGTCATTGGAGGGAAGAAGAGAAGTCTCCATTTTTTTTATCAAAAAAGGTTGAGAGAAGTATGTAAATAGGGAGATGGAAGGAGGAGGGGGGGAGGAAGAGGAGGTAAGGTGAGTTGAGGAAGGTGAGGAAGATGAGGAAGAACGAGTGAAAGATGATTGTCAAAATGAAACGAAAAAATAGACAAATCGTCATGAGCTAAAGGACAAATAAATGGAAAATGGATGAACAAGGTTCTATTGTTTGTCAAATAAGCCATCAATTATCAAAAACATGGAGAGAGAAGGAAGCGAGCACGAGAATATGAATCTTGCCTTATATGGATGTAGATGATGAGTATGAGTATGTGTGTGTATGTGTGTGGAAAAGATGAAATGGCGTATGATGGGTGAAGAAAGAGAGGAAGAAAATGACCTAATTATACACTTCATCGTCATACAGTCAATTCAACTTCTGAAGAAACTTGAGGTCAGACGCTGACGTACAAAAACTTGGAGCTGAAGACGACTATCTCCATGTTATACGGTATAATAGAATGTTAGATACATGTTAATGAGAAATGATAGATGACACATGGTGATATAGCTCATCCATCTGATATAGCCGTGCTATGAGACTAGTGAATGAGCTGTGATGAAGCAAAAAATAAAAAGGAAAAGATGAGGACAAATGAGAGGGAGAAACAGGATGGTCGTCATTGTTTGTCTGACCATACATGGGAATTGGCATACAAGTGAGCTGAATAAACTTGAGTAAACGTTCGAATATCGCTGAACGAGGACAGATGACGAAGAGAGCAGAAGACGATGTATTTGCTCGTGAAGCACACATACATTGACTGAAAGGCACAACGAGCAGACAAATGGTTGTTGCAATTGTTAGAAAATATCGAAAGAAAACGATATCCCCACTCTGTCTTTTTGTAGAAATTGAAGAAAGAGAGTGAGAGAGAGTAGGAGAAAGGTAGAGGTATTCAGAGAGAGAGAGGGGAGAGAGAGATACATATAGAGATGAGAGAAGGTGTTAGAGAGAGAAAAAGAGACATATATAGAGAGATAGAGGTAATATAGAAAAGCATAGAGACTATGAAGAAGAAGCATTGAGTCACATCTTCAACACGTACATTAGATGTAAAGCCAGCAATTCAGTTTCATCAAGAACAGACTGGATTCCAGAGGAAATGACAGTCTATTAAGACATTTCTTGATCGTCCAGCATCCCAGAAGAGAAGCCTCTTCAGAACTTCAGTTGAAAATCTTATCTTCTCGGTGAGTGAGTGATCATTGAATGGAAAAAGCTTCATCTCATTCTCATCATCATCACAAGGTGAGTCAACCTAGTTTGTCAAAACCGTTTTCTCATCTTTCTGATGACAAGAAGACAAAGATCTATCTGAGAGACTACTAATAACCATAATAGTCGTTCTAAACTTAAATGAGCAAACAAATTGAAAAAGCAACTAATCAAACAATGGAAGAGATGACTTTTGTATCAACTCAGATGAAGCTCACAACATCCAAGCTTATATGTAGTCAAAGTTAAGAAGCACATTTCATGTTCATGGTCATGTAACCAAAAAATATTTCGAAACATGGAAACATTCAACAGTCGCATGTAGCCGGAAGCAAAAAACGGTCAACTAGCCCTTCCTTTCCCATACAATCCATTGTTAAAGCCAAAAAACAGAAAAAAGGAGAGAAAGAGAGAGAAAGAGACCGAAAGTGAAAATGAAAAATTTTCAAAAAAAAAAAAAGTTGTAGAAGAAGAAAAGACAAATGGTCAAGTACCGTAAATGGCTGTTCTTCTGAGGGAAATATGAAGAGAGAGAGAGAGGTAGAGAGAGAGAGTTATGTTTATTCTCTTCAGCAGCCCTGTTCTGTCAAGAACGGATGTTTCAGTTTCCGTTTCCGTAAAACCGGAGAGGAGCAACACAAAAGGAATGTAAGAACATGAAGATGGAACAGTCTTTCCATCCATTTTTTCTCATAAAAAGCTAATATGGAAGAAGAGGAGAGAATAGAAGAGAGGAATGAAGGGGAATGGAAACGAAATGATTCAATGGATGACTCATAACGAGTAACGAAGAAGCTTTATATAAGCTTGTCGGATACAGTTCTTGAGAGTCTACCACACTACTTGAAAGATGTTAGTTATATGCTTCTGCACACATAATATGTTAACTATAACATCAAGTAATGATGAATTCACAATTAGTTCACTTCATGACAGTGGCGAGTACGAGCAAAGACTAGTTATGACTCAGGTGAACGGTAATCGTCGATATGGATAACGTAACTGAGAGAGAGGGAGAGAAGAAAGAGAAAATAAAGATGAGCGAGGCGTGTTCTTTTTAAAACAGAAGAGGGTAAGCCTTGCCTGTTTGATGGACAAATCTAAATCCAAAAATATCAGTGAAGGATCAGAATCGCCTACAACTGTGTCCTCTCAACGTGTACAATCACAATAGGAGGACTGGATATGTGTAAATCTCTTTCTATCTATCTATCTATCACTCTTCATAGTCTACTAAGAATACCTCATTTAATTCTAATAGAAGGTATTCGTGGGTGTGATGAGCTTATAAAGAGAGAGAGAGAGAGGGATAGAGGGTTGTGGGCGGTTAAGAGGGAGAAAGAAGAAGTATCGTACAACCTTTAATAGCCTCAATAGAACTAAGCAGAAGAGATTATTCTTGAAGGCTAATGAGTATCCAACTGTGAAAGGAGGAAATGAAATACAAAAACTTCACGCAGACGTCTCATCTTCTCCTCTTCAACCATCATCAACCGTTTTCATCAAACAAATGGGAAGAGAAGCAGATGAGAGTTCAATCATGAAGGTTAAGATAGAGATTGTAGACGAATATGGTAATTCAAAAAATGAAAACGTAAAACTCACTTCACCGCCGACAGATTCGAAGAATTCAGTCATTTTCCTTGTAAACTAAGATTCAGATGAGCTGCTATCGTCGTCCTATTGCTATTAAGATATTTGGGGCATGAGAGAGAAGAGAGGACTATCCTATAAATGACCAATTTGAATATTTCAAATGAAAAATAAAAAAAAAGAAAGAACGAAGATGTAAACGACCGGTCAACAAGAAACAATGAATTCAAAATGAAAATCAAAACATCATCAGCATACGTGGATTCAACGTGGTTTCACGCAGACTTAACGAGAAATTAGCGTAAACACACGCAAACGAAAATCGAAATTATGACCAAAAAAGGGATATTTGAATCCATTTCAAATGAAAAAATCAATAAATGAAAGGTTAATAGAGAGGAAAGGATGATATGGCAGAAGCTTGGATGAGGAAAAGCACAGGAGAGCAATGATTCAATTTTTTATATTTTGTTTCAAGCCTATACATGCGATCTTACCTGTGTTTATAATTTATGAAAACATTTTCCTCTACAAATCGATACTCTTCACATCTGTTACATAGAGGGAGAGACATACAGAGAGAGAAAGAGAGAGAGAGAGAGACTAGGTTGGTGATGAAGTCATTGACAGGACGTTGAGGAGGAGGAAGAGAAGGTGCATGAAGAGAAGAGAGAGAAAGGTAAAATGCCAAAAAAGGAAAAAGAGAGTAAAGGAACCATACAAGGTATCGAATACTTTATAAGGTAGGGTAAATGAAAGGATGCCGAAATCACAGGAAATACAATCAAATTAATCTTTTTTTTCATGTTGTGTCTGTATGTGTGCTCTGTAAGTACTGATGATGGACGTTCATGTAACTTTCATTGACCTTGATCAACGACCAAAAATGAAAATAAAAGGAAAAGTTGAAATGAATTAGAAGAAGAGAGCATTGGCCTACCATTCATACTACACTAAATGAACATTTCCATTACTCAACACCTTCTAAATTGATGAAGCCTTCTCACTCTCTCGATCTCTTTCTCTCTCTCTTGCTTCTCTGTCTGTCTTTAGTTAGTATACCAGTCCTTCATCCAACACAACCTGCACCTGTCCATCACACGAACACGAGAATATATCAAGTTACGTCCTTCACTCTTAAACGCACCTATAAAACCTTTGAGTCAGGTTGAAGATTCAATAGTTACAAAGCTTTTTCTCTCTCATTTAAGACCTCATCAAAAAGCAACTAATGGTTATCAAAACAGCATCGTTGTACGAGAAGTCATAGAAAATGAACAAAACAATGAAACGGCGAGAAGTGACGAAAGCAAAAAGCAAAAGCTCATAAAACGATATTCTGAATGTGAGAATCACAATGAGAAGCAAGACTGTTTGGAAAACCTTGAGGCGATTGCGAACGGAAATGTGGATTTTCAACTAAACACTCGTAGCAGCTGTTGTCGTACAAAAGCCATTAGGATGAAGCTGTTAATACGAACGTGTGGAAAATCTCATAAAAGGGCTATATGATTGGCAAGAAGTAGATAAAGCTGACGATCAAGCTCAATAAGTAAGAAAGGGTGACGAGATGTTTCACAACCGACAATGAAATATTTTTTTTGTTGTGAAATGAAAGCTTCGAATGAAAATTATCAGCCAGTTCACGAAAAAGCTGAGAAGAGATTGATTGAGAGGAAAAGCGAGAAATTGAAAAGAAAAAGCGATCTCAAGCAAATATTGACATTGATCACAAATGGATCTTGAGAAGAGAAGAAGGAAGATAATATATATATTAAAAGAGATAAATAAACTCATAGATTGATAGATTCCTTCCGAAGCAACTCCCGAAGAGCGGTTGTGCCTTGTGACAGACAGCAAATCACTTCGTCGGCTATTCAGAAACACACAAAAGAGAAAACGAAACGAAGAAGATGAAAGTTGAAAGAAAACCGTTTTCTTCCTTATCAGACAGCACTGACTGTTCACACGCGTGTTCACACACCAATCAATAGTTCGAAAGTTACAAACAAGGAAAAATGATTTTTGTATTTTATAGTCAAAGGTAGATCATAAGCAACGCCTGCAACTGAGTGAGTGAGGGAGGGAGGGAATGAGAGAGTGAGAGATTGAGAGAGAGAGTGAGGGAGGGAGGGGGTGCTAAATGAATATTTCAAGACTATTGCAAAAGGTAAATGTTAACAAAAAATATGAAAAAACATAACAAATAGAAGGAAAAATGGTTACAAATTGGACCAACAGGGGAAAAGAAGGAAAAAAAAAGAAAAATGACAGACAGTTGGTAGGGATGAGTTTGTTTTTCTATTTTTCCCTCTCTCTCTCTCTCTTTATCCCTCTCTCTCTATCACATGAATTGGAGGGAGATCAAGATAATGACCGGAAATAAAGCATGGAATAAGTAGAGGCAATAAGAGAATTTCTGAAGTTTTAAAAGATTCAGAAGGCGAACTGTTGGATCATCGGATGAGGGGGGGGGGGGGGGTGGAAGGGTGGATTGCAGAGGGTAAGAGCTAAAGAGCAAGATAATCAGATAGTCTTTTGAGAGAAAGAGAATTATGCATAAAAAGAGGAAGAGAGTGCATGTGTTGTAATATCGGCATGATATAGATTAAGAGAGAGAGAGAGAGAGGGGAATCTGAGAAAGAAGAAGACGACGAAGACGACAACGATAAACATGTAATGATCAGATGAAGAAGAGAAATAAAGAAAATAAGATATATAACATTGAACAAACAGATGTAAAATAAATATAAAAAAACAGTCAAAAAACGGAATTTTACATAGGAAAGTCGAATGATGGAGGAAGAGCAAGTGATCATATTCCTCTCTCATCTGCACATGTTCCATTCAATTCACAGAGAAGAAGAAGTGAGAGAGAGAGAGAGAAGTGAAACGCTTTTGAGCTTTCTTCTGAAATAGAAGATGAAGCGTCGGCGAAGACCTTTTTTCGTCATCAGGTGAACTCTTTGGCAGTTTGTTTTCTCTCCTTCAGAGTTCAAGCTAACAGTGTCAAACGATCGTTTTGCACATCAGAAATCACTCAAAGGAGAGAAAGCACCAAAAAGTTTGTGGGATTGCGATAGTTCGAACAAGCAACTGATGTCAAAACCCATGTCTGACAAGCTAACGAATAATGAACAACACACACACACACACAGATAGACAAGCGAAACAACCGTTCATCTTTACATCGAGTAAGAGATGAAAGAAAAAAAAAATTTTTTTCTGTGTTATTAAAAAAGAAAAGGAGGGTGGTGATGGCAGGGAGGACCGAGAAGTGGGAAGAGAAGTGGATGCAGTGGGCTACAACACATTAGAAGAAGCACCCCCCAAGCTTTCCATATGTAAGAGTTGTTCAAATTAGAATATAAAAATGGTCTGTTAAATGACAGGACACTTCAGAAGCCCATAAAATGCTTTCAACGAGGAACTTCAGATGGCTTTTCGTCTCAAGACAGAAGACGATAGACATAAGGCTGTAAACTTCTTCTTCGTCTTTGAGCAAAGCCAATTCAAACATCAAATGAGCTCATTCAAAAACGTGTTTCAAACTTCTTCCATCGATTCATCCATTCTCTTCCAATTATGATAAACATCAATCAATACTTATACATATCATATAAGGACAGGAAGTGAAAGAGAGAGAGTGAGTGAGAGAAAGAGGTACAGAGAGAGGTAGAGAGAGAGGTAAGGAGGGAGAGTTGAAAGGTTAAATATTAACAAATTTGAATATTTCAAGCGGAATTAATGAAAGTCTTAAGTTTCTAACAGCCAATTCATCAAATGCTGTAATGAGTCAGAGGGAATAGGGAGTGGAAGGGGGGGGGGGGGGAAGAGGAGGATGAGGGAGACATCATCTTCCATCCATTCTTCTTCTAAACCGCAAACGCCTCATTGAAATTCTCTCTCTCTCTCTCTCTCTCTCTCTCTCTCTCTCTCTCTATCTCTTTGCCACCCAGAAGCAAGAGAGGGAAAAGCTTGAAACAACAGAGGGTGAAGCCCTTCATTTGCATAAACTTTTACCATAAAAAAGCATTTTTATTGCAAGTTAACTTTCATTTTATGAGCATATTCAACAGATTTTCTCATTTAATATTCACAAAAATACGAAACCAACTAACTTTAAGCTTCGTTGGAAGAGAAAAGAAGGCAAAGGCAAAACAATATTTGGCAGGTTTTGGTACAAAAAATAATAATTTTCGAACAAGAAAGAGGTATACTTGAGAGGGAGAGAGAGATGGTTATAGAGAGAGAAAGAGAGAGAGAGAGAGAGAGAGAGAGAGAGAGAGAGAGAGAGAGAGAGAATTACGTAAAGAGAAGGTGGGAACAAATTGAAATTGTCAATAAATAGAATATTAAAGGGTCGATAATGATTGTCTTATCATATTCATAAGCACGACCGATAACTCATGACAATCAGTTGAAGAACTACAAATCGTATCCTCAGGGATGAGAGAGAGAGGGAGAGAGGGAGAGAGAAGAAGGAGAGAGAGAGATAGAGAGTGAGCTGGATCTTTGGGATGCATAGACAATTGAGTTGAACTTAGACATTCTACTTCTTTCACAGCTTATAGCGGTTTTTGTGTTCAAAGAAGAAGATGAGCCAAACAAAACGATTGACATCGAACAGACGAAAGATGGAAAATCAAAGACATTTTTATGTCCAAAAAAGGAAAATGAAGAAGAAGCTGGAGCATAAGAATAGAGGGGGGGGGGTAAGGCTATGATAAGAAGAAGTAACGGAAGCCAAGTAGCAGAGAGAGGGAAGGCATAGAGAGAGAGAGAGAGATGGTGGTAAGTGAAGAAGCTTGAAGAAGCTTTTTCTTGCACGAAATTACCAATGATATGACAACATTTTGATAAATTAAAAATCAAATTCCCCAAAGGATACAGAGAGAGAGGGAGGGTGAGAGGGTGAGGATATGACCCAAAGACTGCCTTAACATCTTCTTCCTCAACATTAACCATCAAAAACTGACGTTGAAAGAGAAAGGGATAGAGAGAGAGAGAGAGAGGGAGAACCCCAAATATTCTTTTTTTGTTTG